TTCTTTCTTTCTTTCTTTCTTTCTTTCTTTCTTTCTTTCTTTCTTTCTTTCTTTCTTTCTTTCGAATCTAATTATCTCATCTATCTCCCTGTCTATCCAAATTTATATGGCTGCCCACTCCCTCACAACGACTGTTATTTTGCAAAACAATGAAGAGCCTACATGCCCAGGACAATAATCCCCTTACTTTTACTAGAAAGTAGGTGGCGAAAGGAAGGCGGATAAAAGGAACGAGCAGAGACCTCAGCTCAGTCACCTTGACAAAAAGCTTGTGAGAGAGAGAAAACTCAACCGGGCAACAAAGCGTCTCTCTTCCTGCCTCTCCCCTGCTCTACTGCTAGATCCCTTGATCCATAAATCCCGAACAGGCCAAAGAAATGTAATTTCCACTCACAGTAGCAGGTCCCTTTGAGCGGGTTGCCCTGGTATCGATTCTCCACTTCGCACCTGGAGGAAAAAAACATGAAAAGGATTGGCCTCCGGTTGTAATTCTTTCCTGTACACGAAACTTTTATTTCTCCACTTGATTTGTGTCTCCCAGGAACAATCTGGAGTCGCAAGAGTAGAGTTTTTTTGAGGAAGTAGATAAAAGTCAGAGTGGTCTCTCTTAAACAGGTAGTTCCTCCTCGGCTTACGACCCAACATTTCCACGGCTAAGCAAGGCAGCCGTTAAATGAGTTTCCCCCCCCCCGCTTTCTTGCCACAGTTGTAAAGCGAATCACCGCAGTGTTTAAAAGTGAATCGTGTGGTCGTTCAGTGAATCTTAAAGGGAACTTAGGGAAGGGAAGAGCGATGGGTGCTCGGGAGGTTTTCAACAATAGCCTGAACCACCATTTGACCGGAATGGTACACGGTTTCCTGCCTTGAGCAAGGGGGAGGGGGGGTTGGACTAGATGACCTCCAAGGTCCCTTCCAGTCCCACCATACTGTGCTGTATGAGCAGCAGATGGATTGATCGTTCAGCTGCAGCAGAATCATTCACGCGACACAGCTGGGCCAACCCAATGATCCTTCTGGGAGTTTCCTGTCAATTATTTTACGGTGAAGGAAGAGGCAGAATTTCACCATGAAAGTCATACAACGTACAAATAACTTTGCAGGCTCCCTTGTATGACTTTAGCGTGTGATACGGAGATTGTGCAAATTGTTTTTTTTAAAGCAGGGCCTCCATAACCACTGGGGGACTGTCCTGGTTCAGAATAACAAAGTTGGAAGGGACCTTGGAGGTCTTCTAGTCCAACCCCCTGCTCAAGAAGGAGACCCTATACGACTTTAGACAAATGGCTAAAACCCCTAACCCTAAACATTTCAAATGGTTGTCCAATCTCTTATTGAAAACCTCCAGTGGTGGAGCATTTATAACTTCCGGTGGCCAGCTGTTCCACTGGTTAATTGTTCTCACTGTTAGGAAATTCTTCCTTAGTTCTAAGTTGCTTCTCTCCTTGGTTAGTTTCCACCCATTGCTTCTTGTTCTGCCCTCAGGTGCTTTGGAGAATAGCTTGACTCCCTTTTCTTTGGGGCGGCCCCTCAAATATTGGAAGATGCTATCATGTCTCCCCTAGTCCTTCTCTTCATTAGGCTAACCACAGGTAGTAGTTTATGGTGCACATAACGACTGGTGTATCTTGACAGTCACAGCACATCCAGCCTGTTCCCTTGCATTTTAGGAGCTGTCCTATGGATATGAAGAAATGCAATTTCTTCTAAGTGTAGATGAAGCTATAAAGCGGATTAAATAACCCTCTGCGACAGCCCTTCAAATATTGAAAGACGGCTATCGTGTCACTCCTAGTCCTCTTCTTAATTATTATTATTAAGCTAGACAGGCCCAATGCTCTGCGCCTGGCCTGCTTTCTTTGTTTGAAAAGGGGAGAGGAAAATGGGCGAGGTGTCACATATTTATCCTGGAGGCGTTTGGGGTGTTTAGAACTCACAACTTGGGTGTTTTCTTGCAGACAATTCATTACCCAAACTAGATAACATCCTCGGTGCTAGAAGGGAGTGGGGCTTGCAGAGTGGAAAAGAAAGAGAAGGGGGAGGGCAGAGGAGGAGGAGAGAGGAGTGGGAGTAGGAGGGGGAAGACTATAGGGTCCTTGGTGCTCTCTGAGCATGATTGTCTTCTTGCAGACATTTCATGACCCAACTAGGTGACATCATCAGTGCTAGAAGGGAGTGGGGCTTGCAGAGTGGAAAAGAAAGAGAAGGGGGAGGGCAGAGGAGGAGGAGAGAGGAGTGGGAGGAGGAGGGGGAGGACTATAGGGTCCTTGGTGCTCTCTGAGCATGATTGTCTTCTTGCAGACATTTCATGACCCAACTAGGTGACATCATCAGTGCTAGAAGGGAGTGGGGCTTGCAGAGTGGAAAAGAAAAAGGGGGAGGGCAGAGGAGGAGGAGAGAGGAGTGGGAGGAGGAGGGGGAGGACTATAGGGTCCTTGG